AAGAAGAAGAAGAAGAAGAAGAAGAAGAAGAAGAAGAAAGAACATTAGAAGACAGAGTGGTCCGTGAGTGCCTTGGGAGGATCTGAGTTCAAGGTCAGCCCAGTCTACAAGGAGACCTTGTCTTAGAAGACATTAGAAAACAATTAGCACCCAGGGGCTATCTTAATACTAAAATAACAACTTGGAGATATGCATACTTTGGAAGACCCACAGCCCTTTCCCCTTTTCTGCATTAGCTCTGGGATCCCCAAGCATCTATGGTAGTGGCTCCTCAGCAGAACACAGCCGATGAGCTAGGATCACAAATATCCATTTGGGAGGACATTCTCAGGAGACCATTGGCACCAGACCACACAGTGTGTGTGTACCCCACTAACCAGTGGCAGCCGGCTCCCCACGGTGTACCACATAACCTGGTTGACCTTCTCTCTAAGCAGCCGTGGCATTCACACAACCTTACCCCCAGGGGCTCAAAGCTGAAACACCTGCCTGTCACCCAGGGGAGGCATACTTCTGAACCCAAAGCAAAGAACCAGGCTGGCCAATCCTGTACTGGCCCCAGCAGTGAGGGAGGCCACTTGCCGGCACTGGAGTCAAGCGGGGTCCTGAGATGGACAGACTCCCCAATCTCATCCTCTGGTTGGAAAAACCAACACTTTCACCCAGTTTTCCAAGCAGACGGGAGTCAGGGGAGCTCTGTGCTAGTCCCATGCAACCTTGAGAAGTCGCTTTCCTTCTGAATGCTTCTGCACATTGACTGTAACACTCTGTGCCAATGGCACGGGGTCACCAGAGTCCATCCTGTCTGCCTCGGTCTCGGGGTCTGCTTGGGCATACATCCTGGGAATAAGGAATCCCTGCCCCTCTCTGTGTGCAGGCCCCACAGACTGGCAAACATTTTGAGGAAAGAGAACCCTGAGGGAGTCAGGAGAGGAAGCTGTCATCTGCACGGGTTTCAGAGACCTGTCCCAAGACTTCAGCAGCTTGGTCACCCACCTGGAACAAAACTGCCCCCATGGCTGCCCAGCCCAGAGCCCTGTGGGGGGTGTGACTCACTTCGCGGGGGGCCATTGTGGCTAACGTTTAACCTGGCCCCTCCTTCAGAATGACACTTTAGCCCCAGAAGTTCTGAGTACAGATCTGCCCTGTGTGTGAGAATCAGACACACCGCCGGGCTTGGGGCCCTGGGACCAGTGGGGACAAGGCACAACTGGCCTCTTGAGAACTCTAAGACAGGCAGGGTGGTAGCAGGTGGCGTCCTGCCCTGGTCGTTCCTAACCAGGAGGGAGGAACATCCTGCCATCTCCAGCTGCAGAGAGAGGCATGCCCACACAGCTGCTGTGGGTTTGTTCACACCAGACATTCCCTGAGAAGGTCCTGGGCCTCTACCCTCAGCCTGGGTCAAACTATTTGAAGAAGACCTCCCCTTTGCCCATGTACATCTGTCCTGCCTCCCACATAATAGCTTCCCTTCTGGTAGGAATGAGAACACCATGGTATACAGGTCGGATTCTAGTGTGGAGTCCTTCCTGGGCAGTAACTAGTTGCACTCTGTTGAAGCAAGACTGATCCTAGAAAAGAGAAAGCCCCAAGGCAAGTGGAACGGGGTCTCCTGTGAAGTCACAGCTGTCAAACTCTGGCCCCTTATGTCCTAGCGTCCTAAGCCCTCCAGGGCTCCGTTTCTAGAGCTCTACCTCCAAGCTTTTCTGAGAAGGTCTAACAAATCCTGATACAGCATTTGGCATGGTAAATTTGTCCTTGTTATCACTGCAAACAGTGCCCTGGAAATGAGAGTCTGGATGCTGGCAGACTCCTTCGGTTTAGTTCCGTCTCCCTCCTTGCTTTGTGACTATAGCGAGTCCTTAGACGTCCTGCGCCGTGCCTCCCTGGGGCATGGGGATGGAGACAGTGCAGTCTCGCAGGGCCGATGTGAAGGTTAAATGACTACAGTATCTAAAGTAGTTAGTGCCTGGCACATGGTCACATGTCTTGTGTGGGAGCTGCCAATCAAGGAGAGGCCCCGGGGCTTACTCAAGTTTATAGCCATATCCGGTCATGTGGACTGTGGGCATCCATAAAGAATCAGGTCTCAACAAAGGACCCTTTACAGAGTTCCCCCATTGCTAAAGCCCATCTTCTCCTTGCCAAGCAGAGGCTCAGTTCTCCCCAGATAAGTGTGGGTATCAGTCTGAGCTCTAGTCCATCCTCATGGAAATGTCTCAGGGCACCGGAAGCAGAACGGGGCTGCTGACCTTCTGGAGTTGTCTGCATGGGTCCTCTGCCCTTTGCCAGAGGGCCACAGGCTTAGGTGTGTTGGGAGCCCCACCCCCACCTCCTAGCAGCCCTCTGTGTCCCATGTTTGCTTTGAGTCAGAATTGGGGCTGGTCTCCCACCTCTCTAGGGCAGGGTGGAGACCCCAGTCTGTCAAAGCCCTAGGTTAATAGTCTACTGTCAGACTGAGATTTGCCTCAGGAACTTAAGGCCAGGTTCTATCAAAGGTTTGGGAAGAGACAAAACATTGAGACATGCTTTGGAGCCAGGCCAACTGGGAGGAGCCCGTGAGGCAAGGAAGGGTGGGTTTCTTGGCTGCCCAGGCACGAAGCCTCACCCTGTGCTCTGTGGCATGAACCAGCCCTGTCAGGTTCCCCAATGTGCTCTCTCTCACTCTCTCTCTCTCTGTTTGTGTATGTGTAACTGTGTAACTATGACTACAGGTATGTGCACACAGTAAGCGTGCTCTTTGCACACCCCTGACTCTCTGCCTACTGATGTGCTTGTAGCAAAAACCCTGTGCTAGATGCTGCCTTTCCTAATGCACCCCAAGTTGCTGGTCCCCGCTGCCACAGGCAGGCTGAGTATGCCTGCCCCAGACTGTGCCCCAGGAGGTAACAACACCGTACTTTGCACCAGCCATTGGCATTCATACCAGATAATACATGCAGATCAGAGGGTAGAGCCTGGTATCTCTGGGGTCAGGTGAAAGGGACTGTCGGGACAGCTCAGCCTTTGTGGGGACCAATTACTTTCCTGTAGGCTTAGATCAGAAACTGCCATTGACACCTCCCTAAAAGCCAAGTTCCACTCTGGCCCAGAATGCTGCTCTTTGCTCCTTTAAGGGGAGTGGGGGTGGGGTAACAACTCAAGGGCACAGGAATGTCCACAGTTCCTCATTACACCTACTCCTCTCCCCTGGGTTAAGCCCCTCTCAGGTTTGGGGCCCAAACATTAGTGAGATTGAAAAAGGAACTGGGCCAAAAGTCAAACCACTGGCAGGACCACCTTGGATCAAGAGTCTTGGGGGTGTTTGACTGGGAGTGTGAGGAGAAACTGAGGTCCCTGACACATTCTTGCCCTCTGGGAGGGGACAGAGGGTCCACGCAGAGGACTCCAGAAGAGCTCCTCCTCCAGCCGTCTGCACCCCCAGTAGAGAGGAAGTAATCTGGAGCAGAGAGCAAGGACCTGAGCAGCCAGACCCAGAGATGAGGGATGGAGCCTCCTGGTGACCAGACATGGAACTGCAGTATGTCCCTCCTGAGAGGCTAGTGTGCAGGAAACTCAGCCTCTGGTTCTGCAAACCAGAAGAGAGGCTGGAAGCACCTTGACCTGTTGGCCCACAACGGTTAGGTGCATGGAAGGCACCGGATAGTCTATGTTTGTTGAGGCTAGGGAAATCAGCAGGGGTATGCTACCAAATGGGATGCCGCTCTGAGGACACATCTGCTGTCAGAGATCCCGGCTTGAGAGAGCTGAGGTTTCTGGATGCTTAGAGTGTGTGATGTCACTGTGCCTTGGAACAAAGATTCCTTGGGGCGCATTGCCAGGCCACCAAATCCTTAGCCTTCTATTCTGATCCTGAGCTCCTGACTCAAGGCTGAAGTTTTTCAAATCCCTTTTCACAGACTCCCTGTGTTCACTTTCTTCTGAGCACTAACCACAGAGCTATGGAAACCAGCAGGAACCTGGATTTTTAATGAGGAGTTGTGATGTCTGTAGACATGGCAGGTAGCAACAGAGATGGGGGTAGCAAGATGGGACTGTAAGGAAGGCGTGCTCTCTGCCTCCCTCTCCAGCCTATGGCCCCTCGGCGTGGTTGGATAACCCCAGTGTGCCTCATGGGTTACTGGAAGCCCATGCTGATGACTTGAGGTCTCAGACACTTGCGTCTCTCTTCTCCTTTGGGTGCCACTTCATCCTAGCTCCAAAGGTGACCACGTAGGCTGGAGGGAGGAAGGACATAGCAGGGATGCCCCAGGCATTGGCAGAAAGATAGGTGAGTGGGGCTGGAGGAAGGCGCCCAAAGCATGACCCCGGAGTCATTCAGCAAGCCAACCTGCAAGGACAGAGAGGAGATGCTGAAACAGATCCTATTGATGAGTGCCATTTAGGCACTGACTGACACATAGCGCGTATGGTCCCCACCATCCCTGGGGCTTCTCCCTTGCGACACCCTTGGGACTCCTCAGCTGCTCTGCCCAGAACCTGAGCTCCCTCTCTCTCCACACTTCCAGAGCTCCTTGGCTGGAGCCTGTCCTCTCATCTTCCATGACTGGGTTCCTCCCACTGCTGCTGACCTTTGCACCCTCAGCCCTTCCCCTTCCTTTGTGAACCCTCCCCTATCCCTAGCTGAGATGTGCTCTAGGGAGAGAGCCTTGTCTGCTCTGTGCTGCTGTAAACCTGCCCACTGCGCCTTCTTTCCATGCTCCCACAGCAGGGCTTAAATGCCCAATTCCACCTCTTTGTCAATCCCTCCCGACCTTGGGGGGGCACTAGTGTCTCTGAACTGGTGTCCCCCTGGAGCACTGACTAGGGTGCTTCTTTTGAGTGTATACAAGTAAAATATATCACCAAGGACAGTGGAAGATGGGAGACTCTTGAAGAATTAAAGCTGGAAGGACCTTGGGGAACATCTAACCTTAGACTCTCAGACACTGCCTCAGGATCTCCTAGGGTCCCCCAGCCAGTTCCCAATCCAACCATTTGCAGCTAGGAACACATGGAAGCTGCCAGGCCCAGGACCACCGATCTGGTACAAGCCCCAGTTTGCAGATGAGAGGCCCTGACAGAGGCGTGCCATGCCCAGAGTCTGACGGCACTAGAGTGGGCGCCTGCGCCCGAGAGAGCTGACTCCAAAGAGTTCTCCTGCACGCCGCATTAGCCTCCCATCCCTTATGTATCCCGAGTGCCCTGGAGACTCTGAGGGACCCCAGGATGAGGTCACCCTAAGCACCTCTACTGTGAAGTCGGGGACTTGGCAGCATCAAACATCTTCTTGCGGCCTTCCATGCCAGACATGGCCTCCACATTCTTCCTCCAGTCTCCTACCTCCACTGGCCGCTCCTGTGGGTAACCCACGACCATGTTAGAAACTCACCAGGCTGCAGGGGCTACAAAGGCCCCCTGAGCTCAACAGACATTAGATGGAAAAGAATCCACCTCCTCAAAGAAACCCCAATGCTCCTGCCCAGCGTGTGATGAAAGATGCCTGGGCCAGACAGGGGCACAGGTTATGCTGAGGCTCCACAGAAAATATGAGGCTGTGTGGATGGGGGGTCCTAGGGGACTGTGATGGGGCCACAGAGCTGGTTTCCAGTGTACCACAGGCCAGCCTCACCTCCAAGCCCCGTAACAGCCTCCCGTGGGACACACCACAACTCAGGGTCACCTCCTCCATTTGACTTGTTTCTGTTTTGTCAGCATGCGGCCTAGCCTGTTTATCCATTAGGCTTCCTGGGCCGGAGATCGCTCTCTCACACTTACTTCTCACAGTGCCTGTCAGCTCTGGGCATACACTGTGAGGCCAGCAAACTTGATGCTGCTGTTTGCTAAGCAAGTAATCGAACCCAGTTCTCCAATTTCTCCACACTCATATTGCCACAGCCACAAAGAGAAGTCGTGGCGACGGGGCATTAGTCGTCCCTGAATTGACACAGAATTCCTCAGTCAGCCCAGTCTTCCCCTCAGATAGGAAGCGGCCCGTCTCCCCTCTTCTGACGGGACCTCATAGGGGGTTCTAGAATATTCTAGATCACAGACTGACTAGAGCACCTCTGTGAGAAGCGACAGGTAAAGGCTAGTCGGCGGCAGGAGGAAGAGTCTGAGGAGAGTGGCCGTACCTTCTCTGTGTCGTCTTTCTTCACAGACTTGAGGTTGGCCCGCAGGTCCATGGATACCTTGTGTTTCGAGCCCAGTAAGGCTCGGAGCATGGCGTCGGCTGAGACACGGACCCGGCGCAGGGGTGGACGTTTGAACTTCCCACGGAGGTCCAGGACCTTCAGCTTCAGGTCCTTAATCTGTCGGAGGAAAAGAGTCAGGCTCTATGGAGGGGACACTAGACCCGGACCTCTCTTCCCAGGGATCCAACTGCTAAGTTTCCAGCTAGACCCATGCCCCAAGTTTCCCAGGCTCCATGCTAGACTCTCCGAGGTGCTCAGAACCACCTACTCTTTTCCAAACAGTCACCGTGAACTTGCACAGATTTAAGCCGAGTAGTTAACCTCACCCCTTCCCTGTCACCAAGCCTCAAATAAACAAAAAGTCACTAAGCCATCATTCACATTCGGAAGCCTTGTGTGGAGTGTGGACTGCTTTCCTCTGTCCCTCCATCTTTAGCCTGGCTGCTCAATCCCTGCCCAGGGGGCCTGCAGAGCAGCTGAGCCTAGACTGACCCAGCAGGTAGAAAAGTCCTAAATCCTACACCCTGGGAATCCCAGGGTGTGGTCTATGAGGGAGTTCTCTGGAGTTTAATGACGTCACACATCACCCTCCCGGCAAGAGGAAGTGGGTAGGGAAGTGCCTGCTCTCCTTAGGAGAAGGCTCCGAAGCAGCCCACCTGCACCGGAAGTCCCGCCTTTCCCCATTCTTTTCTGCTGGCTGACCCTAATGCTCTCACGCCCCGCCCCACGCTGACGGAGCACTGAGTACGGGAGTGGGGAGAACCAGAGAGCAGCGTGCATACTAGGACCCTTGTTCAGTGACTTGATCCAGGCAAGTTCTTAGCCTTTGTGAGTCTCGGAGTCCTCATTAGTCAGGCTTAGGTAATAGTCCCCGTGTCACCCACAGGCATATAGGGAGGATCAAAGGATGCACCACACATGAAAGCCCTTCAGGAAGGTAAGATGTCATTAACAGACATCTGATTACTTGTGTGGGAGAACGAAGGCAGCAACTTCTGAAGAACTCACGTGGCAGGTGGGGGAGGAAGTTTGCTCACGTGTGACCATCCTTCCCGCCCATTGCCCATATCCGGCCTACGGGGCTAGGGTGAAAAGCTCAATCTTCATGCTGACAGGCTGGGCCACACAATGTCCAGCCCGCCCAGCACTGGCCCAGCCTCCTACCACCCTCCCTGGGGCTTACCTCCCTCGTGTTGTGGAGGCATTTGGCCTCGATATCGTATCGCTCCTCATCCACCACCTCCACCTTGGCATGTAGCTCTCGGCACAAGTCCTGAGGGAACAGAACGAAGTCATGAGAGTGAAGGAGAGGGGAAAGGGGCACCAGCTCCAGCATCCCTTTTCTGTCTCCACATTGAACATGCTCGGCCCTGTGGCCAATTGCTTTGTCAGAACTGTGATCCCAACAGGGGCTGCTGGAGGCTCCATCATGGCAACGCCTCAGAGGGGAAGCCTTTGCTCTCCCTCTGCTCGCTGTGGGCTTTCTTTTTCCAGCTTTTTGTAAATGTTAACTTATTTTTTACTTTTTTTTTTTTTTTTTTTTTTTTTTTAGGTTATGTCAGTACGTAGTCCAGCTGGCCTGAAAGCATTGTCATTGAGGGTACCTAGGCACGGATTCACAATCCCCACATACATGGATTCACAGACACTGTGGGAGGACACACAAGACCCACACATGCTCAACCCCAGCACTGAGAAGGGAAAGTAGACACAGAGCCCTGCCCCTGACCAAGAAGCTGTCTGTGATGGATGGCTACTGTGAGGATGAGGGGAATCTGCTTTCTGCAGTGGAGTGTCCCTGGTGCATGAAGTCCCAGGCCCAGGGAAGGTGGCCAGCATAACACGGACTCCATGTTCTCTCTCTCTCTCTCTCTCTCTCTCTCTCTCTCTCTCTCTCTCTGTGACAGGATCTCACTATGCAGCTCTGTCCTGGCCCACTCTGTAGACCTTGAACTCACAGAGATCTGCCTGCCTTTGAGTGCTGGGATTAAAAATGAGCACCACCACTCTCCTGACTCTATCTCTCTCTCCCTTCCTTCCCTCATTCCTCCCTTCCTTCCTTCTTTCCTCTTTGTTTTGACTTTCATTTTTTGGTTTTTGTTGTTTTATTTTTTTTAGAGAAAAATAACATAAAGTTGAGTGGCCCAGGAGGTAAGAATCTTGGAAGAGCTGGGGGAAATATGATCACAATGTATTGCATAGAAAAGTTTAAAAAAAAACTTTAAGCCGGGTGGTGGTGGCACATGCCTTTAATCCCAGCACTCAGGAGGCAGAGGCAGGTGGATCTCTGTGAGTTCAAGGCCAGCCTGGTCTACAGAGGTAGTTCCAGGACAGGTTCCAAAGCTACAGAGAAACCCTGTCTCGAAAAAGAAAAGAAAAGTTTTAATAAAAAAAGTTTTTAGTTCACAATCCTCCAGCCTCTATCTCCTGAGCACTGAGACTACAAACACATGCCTCTATACAAAACTCATAGTTGTTTTCTTAAGAAATAGTGTTATGGGGGGCTGGAGAGATGGCTAAGTGGTTAAGAGCATTGCCTGCTCTTCCAAAGGTTCTGAGTTCAATTCCCGGCAACAAAATGGTGGCTCACAACCATCTGTAATGGGGTCTGGTTCCCTCTTCTGGCCTGCAGGCATACACACAGACAGAATATTGTATACATAATAAATAAATAAATATTTTTAAAAAAGAAATAGTGTTATCATAAAAGGAACATAAGTTAATAGTAGAAAATTAATAGTAGAAAAACCATATGTTAAACATATGTATTAAACTATATGTTAAACTAAGTTAATAGTAGAAAACTGTATGTTAAACAAAAATAATAGAATTAAAATAGCCACTTCCATAAGAGACATGTAGAAATATTGGCATCTAGTCTCTTCTCTTCAGTCATTGGCATTAAAGCGATTGCTGATCCAAAACAATAAAGCCTCGTCTCTAAAAGGAGGGCAGATCTCTGAAGGAATGGGCCTTTCTAAATCCTGCCCATCTCGCAGGCCATGCCACTGCACTAGCTGATGGGAAGCCAGTCCCTGGTTCTGCCCGACTAAGTCCATTCTCCCCTCTGGGACTCCCCTCTCAACAAGTGTTGTGGGACTGGGCGCTGGAGTCTGGAGGGCACTTGTAAGTTATAGAGCTGTGTTAGTTCAAGACCCACAGAGGGTCCCTTTCCAGCCTTCCAGGCTTACCTGCAGGGCACTGAGGGACAGGCCTCTGGTCTGCAGTGTGGGGATGCGCTCCGCAAGGTACCGCACCTTCTCAGCCTCTCTCTCCTCATGTTCCTGCTCCCAGCACTCCTTGGCCTTGGCCAGCATCAGGCTCTGCAAAGGACAAAGTTACTGATCCAAGGCTGGTTCCTCATATTCCCTACCCAGCACCACCGAGTGAGGGGAAAGAGCCTCCAGACTTGGCAGTGTGTGCAGTAGGCCTTGTGTAAGTCGCACAGAGTGGCTACGTGGCATACCCAGTCTCCCTCTTCCGTCTTTGTTATCCCTTCTGTCCCACAGTGCTCCAAAGAGAGAAACAGACCAAATGAACCATGTCCCTTCCTCTCCCTCCAAGGAACCTCTCCCCAGGCTCTTTTCTGCTGCCTCTTAGGCACCCAGAAGAGGCCATAGATGCAAGTCACTGGTCACCAGTCAGCTCTGGCAATACACAAGCTTCTTCTTCTTTTTTAAATTTTAAAAAAGGAACCCCTCCCCAGGCTCTTTTCTGCTGCCTCTTAGGCACCCAGGAGAGGCCATAGATGCAAGTCAGCTCTGGCAATACACAGGCTTCTTCTTCTTTTTTAAATTTTTATTTAACTTTATTTCATGCGTATTAGTATAACGATGCCAGATTCTCTGGAATTGGAGTTACAGACAGCTGTTTAGCTGCCTTGTGGATGCTGGGAATTGAACCTGGGTCCTCTGGAAGAACAGTCAGTGCTCTTAACCACTGAGCCATCTCACCAGCCCATGGACAGGCTTCTTCCCTTACCCTTACTTGGTCACCCTCCTTCCCCTTCCTCCACCCCCCCCCCCCTTGCACCCCTTTGACTCTGTATGGCTGCCCCTCCATCTCCCATGGAACCAGCCTCACCTTCAGCATGAGTTTTCGGGAGGCAGTGATCTTGGATTTCCTCTGAGGAGGAGAAGGAGAGACCAGTGATAAGGTAAAGGCGATATAACTGGAATTCTGGTACAGGCAAACACAGCACCAGCTGCAGTTCTTCATCATTACCCAGAATCCTCTGCTTGCTTTAGGGCTTTTCAAGCTCATCTTTGGGACTGAACCAGTCAAGTTCAGAGAGTGATATAGTCAACTACGTTGAAGCCCTGCCTTCCAGTCCTCCCGCTGCTGGCAGGATTCTGCAGCTATGCCTCCTGCGGGTACCTCCTCATCTGCAGGGGAGCATGCTGACAGCTGTACTTAGTCCACAGGGCCGCCAAGATAAAATGAGGGCACAGATAAGCAACTCTTGCGGAAAGCCTAAAACGGGCGTATGTTTTAGCACTCCAGGCGATAATGCGGCTCTGCTCTGATGTTCTTTCCTGCCAGAGACATATGCTACAGGTTTCCCAAATAAGGGAAGTATGTCTTTGTGGATATCAAACTAGCTTACAAGTCACCGTCACCCACAGAGTTCTCCAAGATATAAAAACACTGCTGTGTTTTCTAATCAAAATGAGCAAGCAAATTCTTGTTTGTTTTGGGATTTGTTTGGATTCTTTTTGTTTTGCTTTGCTTTTTTGTTTTTGGTGTTTTTTTTTTTTTCAAGACAGGGTTTCTCTGTGTAGCCCTGGCTGTCCTGGAACTTGATCTGTAGACCAGGCTGGCCTCAGATTCAGAGATCCACCTACAGGTGCTGGGATAAAAGGCACGGGCAAATTCTTGATGACTAGGTAGATATGTTTTAAGAACGTTTTGGAAGTGCCCGCCAAGGCCTGACATGGTGGGTCATATGTGTAATCTCGGCACTCTTGGGAGGCTCACGTATTGTGGGCTGTCGTGGAAGGACAGGAGCTACACAGAAGAACCTATCTAAAAGAATTTTTAAAGTCTCAGCCCGGTGGCAGTGTCCCCCATTTGGTGAAGGTGACAGAGACCCTCAGTGCTAACTAACAGGACCATGAGGCTCGGGAGTCCTTGTGTCACTCCTGGGTTTCTCCTTGCCGCTCCCATGGAGCGAGCGCATGCCTATTCAGGTGTGATCCACCCTGAGAGAGCACAGGTTTGTCCCTGCCGTATGTCAGGCAGAAGTGATGAGGCTTTGTGGGAGTGACTTGGGGAGGCCATGGATGAGCTTTAGCACATTGAACACAGAACTTCTGATCTGCTCACAGTGGCTTACCTTTTCCTCTTCGAAAGCCTACACTCCAGATAAGTAGAAAAGTGGCCGGTTGCTGTAACCATTACGGCCCCTGGTTCACCCACCCAGACACACCATGGCGAAAGACCTTTTGCAGTCTTGTTTCCTCACTGCTCAGTAAGCATATGATCTCTTCAGCTAACCAACAGTCCCTGGAGACTCACTCTAACAGGAGCCCCTGGAAACTCAAGGGTTCATAGGTCACTGGAAAACAGTGTATTTGCTTCTCCTGAGACTTTCCAGGCCCAGTGTTCCCTCAGTCGGTGACGTGATGCTGCCTCTCCACTTAAGTCAGCCAGCGCATCGCCTGTTCCTTCCGTCCTCACCCCGGGCGATATGCATGCTGTGTTCTCAGCAGCCTGAGGAAATCTGCACCGCAGTGTGTCCAGAACCAGGGTGACCACAATCCTGAGGAGAACCTAAGGCCACAGCTCCACTCCCTCTTCAATGTTCAGTCACCGCCTTCACCTTTCAGACATAGCTTTGCTCAGCATCAGCGTTTCAATGGGCAGAATGATGCCCCCAGGGATGCAGGAACGTTGCGAGAAGTTGAGGGAGAGCTTTCCCTCAGCAAAGGTACAAAGCTATGCCTCAGGGGCACTGTGCCCAGGAGCAGCAACTCCCTGCATCCTGGGAGCCCAGCATCATAGAGAATCTTCACTCACTGTTTCTCTTCTCAGTCACTGTCATACCCACCCCTCCCTGACTTCTCTTCAGGCCCACCCCACCTTCATCACGCCGAAGAACTAAGAAACTCCAGTATTACTCACCTCCCTTTAAGCATCCATCATAGGAAGGACCGGAGGACAGAGCCGAGCATAGAGTGCGTGGGAACAAAGAGCACAGTATGAACAACAACAGAATCAAGCACATTTGTTGGAGAAGAGGGCACGGGTAGCAATGACACGTCTGGAAGACATCAGCCATCGGGCAGGGGACCACTTTGGGGTTTCAGTAAATAAGAATATAAAAACCCAACAACCTTCTGGGCTACTGGACTTTTCTTTTGGGAGATGTTGGTTATTCACAGTTGTAGGAGATCTAGTGGGAGCCCTTATAAGCTTTGACAGAGGGCCACAGTTAATGTAAAAACTTTTCTCCCTGGGTTTGCATTCTCAAAGCTTCATTCATGCCCATGTGATATGGTAGCCTAGAGTGTCCAGTTCATTGATCGATACTGACAAGCCAGCTCTGAGGCACAGGCCAACCTGGGAGTGAGCTCTGCTCAGCAGAGAGAGCTCCTGGATACCTCAGGGAAGCAATGTGTGCTGACCAGAAACTAAGGTCCACCCTTATCTCAGGAACTTCTGCTGGGAGTAACCTGGGGGAGGGTGAGCCAGGCTGTCCACAACGTCAGTGGTGAAGGGGGACGTGCCTCCCAGGAACCCTGCATGGGGACGGAACAACTTACACTTCCGGCATGGTGGTAGCTAGACGGCACCTAGAGGGGACAGAGGAATCATTAATGGCAAAACCGTACCTTCCATTGTGAACCCCTTGTAAGTGTGGGGAGTTAGACAACAGGAAATAGTCAGCATGACAGATGCCAACAGGACACCTCATCTGTTCTGCTTAATCAAAGACAAAACAGAACCTAAGGCCAAAATCCTCCCGGGACCTGTGAAGCCTAACGCATTCACCTATGGTCATTTCCAGAAAAACACGCTGACTCTAGTGCAAAACAGAACAGAATCCATAGACAACATGGTTGGGAGGGAAGAATGGGACTTGATCGCGGGAGACTCGACCATGCAGCTGAATCCAGATGTCACCTGTGGATTAGGACTCAGGGAAGGCGCAGGAGGAGCGGAGGAGCACAGAGACTGGCGTGCAGCTGGCCGCTGGGTGCCTTTGGGCCTACCTCCTGAGTGCCAAGGGTAGGTGGCAAAAAGCCCTGAGTAGAGACTAAGGCAGGAGGGAAAAAATTCTCGTGTGTCTTCACTTTTTCTAGGCCAGTTTTCCTCTCGGGAAAATCGGAGCTTAGATCAGTGTTGGGCTTCTTAGTACTTAGCCCTTGGACCTTTTATTCAAACATCTCACTTGGAAGCAAAGCAAGATCAATCACTAAAGGCATGACGACCCTGGCTAAATGAGTCGGCATAGGAGCCTGGCATCCTCTGAGAGAGCACAGCTGCTGAGCCGTCCGAAGCTGCTGACAGGCCGTCTCTGGGCCCGGGCCAAGGCGGGCTTCTGAAGGCTGCAGAGGCTACAGGCCTTATTCAGAGGCTACAGGCCTTATTCAGAGGC